ACTGATAGTAGCAAATCATCATCATCATCATCATCATCATCATCATCATCATCATCATCATCATCATCATTGTTGTAGAATAGAAGAAAGAAAATACATGTACCTGGAGACTTGGATATTTTTCCTAAATTAAATCTGGCTCATTGTTAGTGAACAACAGCAACAGTACAATGACGCAATATGCTGAGGAACGTACAAAAAAAGCACCTGGAAATTGTAGGAATGAATGTGTTCTCGTCACCATCATCTCGAAAGCGGAGAGGCTATCATTCTGAGGTTACGTTTTTAGTCTTTGACTACCATGATAGTGGAGGAAAAAATAAGTAGGCCTACTGGTAAAATCTATACCCAATATCATGAACTAACGGAGCTAACTCCATGTTTTCTGAGCCTAAAGGATCTGAAACTGAATGGTATAGACGAATTCTGATAACACCGAAAAGCGTTAACTTAACTTCACGATAACCTTAATTCTAACCCTAACCCTAACCTTAACCCTAACTCTTATCTTAAGCCTAAGCCTAACCCTAACCCTGACTCTTATCCTAAACGTAATCTTAACCCTAACTCTTAATCCTGACCCCAATCCTATAAACATAAAACACGTTTTGGGGTCTGTCAGACCCGCACTGTGTAAGCTTCTGTGTTCATATCGACGAGGAAGTAGCTTGCAGAATTTAGAGAGCTTCATTCGTTATAATAGAGGCAAGTAAATTGAACTAATGACGTCACGTATGTGCTGAACAAAAAATACAAACTCATCGAAGCAGAAACTCAAAAGCCAAAAACCTTTGTTTAAAGGGCAGCTAATTCTTTAAGGACGGAGCAGATACACTTCCAATAAACAGCAGGCTGAAGATAATGCCTTTGTGTGTGTTTGTGTGTGTGTGTGTGTGTGTGTGTATGTGTGTGTGTGTGTGTGTGTGTGTGTGTTTTACTGAGCTCGCAACCGCACAAAGTCATATGAGCGCGTGGGACACATTAAACATGTTCAGTTGGTAGGACTTTTAAAAATTTTGTTCAGGTGGCGGTCGAAGCCCAGTTTTATCAATTTTGGACAATCAAGGTATCTCTAACGTGCGCAGCTTCCACACCGGATCTCCGAGATTTTTCGCCCTTGTCTGAGAAGGCTAAGTGTAGATCTTTCCCACCACAGAATCAGGGGTGTGGCTAAAAGACAGCAGCAAGAAGGAGCCAGGGAGTAGCAGTAGAAGTGCTGTAGAAAGAGCCAGGAGCCCATAGGAGGGGGCAAAGGATGTGAGAGGTGGAGGCAGAAAGTGAAGGCGAAAGCAGACGACAGAACATTGATAGAGAGCCGGAAAGGAGGTGAAAGGAAACAATTCTAGAGAAAAAATAAATCCGTCGGTATCCGGATTCGAACGCAGGACCTATTGAATGAGAGGCAAACACCTTAACCTCTATGCCACGAGAAACCCCATGGTAAATATGTCTGCGGAACGTTTCGAACCATTAAGTTATACAAATCGGAAACATGAATTTGCATTGGGCTTTGAATGCGTGTTGCTGCCTGTTTTCTTTGAAGTATAATTTTACGGAAAACAATTTTAAAATACCGTATAAATGACGAACTAAGCTCTTTTCTAACTTTCCCCCAGAACAGTGAAAGGGGCAAGGGAGGAGGAGTAATATCCCACACAAGAAAGACAACTTTGGTTATCTTAGCGAACAATCAAGGTCATCAGTGATTACGTCCCTTACCTCCACGAAACGTCAAATTATGACCAGAACGGAACAATCGCCCTCAAGGAGTTAATTGACCTTACCCAGCCCCTGTCCACGAGACAATGTCTGTGATGATGTTGTGAAGTTCGAGCGAAAACTTTTACTCAGGGGTTAGAAGACTTTTCGGATCGGGAATGTGTGTGTTTGGGGGCGGAAAGGGGGGGGGGAAGGAATGGGAGAAGGTTGAGGGGGCTCCTTGGCAATGGTTGGGCCATGAAAATCAAAGGGCCACACCTTTTACTACGCTATGAAACTTCTCTTAATAATAAGATCGAAAATATAAACTGCAACTGAGATAGTATTGTTTTTAGAATTCAGCAATCAAATTAAATAACAAAGTTTTCTTAAATTTCATTACAAAAACTAATCTTGGCACTCTTACTTTGACAAATGTTGATATAGTTTACAAAAGTTTGTTCATCCTCATCTTTTCGTCAACTTTTGAAAAAATTTGGTGGAGGTGGAGATGGAGGAGGCATATGCCACACAAGAAAGACAACTTTGGTTATCTTAGCGAACAATTTATGTCATCAGAGATTACATCCCTTACCTCAGCGCATTCCTCATCTAAAATAGTGCTGTCAAAAATTCGTGGCACAACTTATCCTCAAATATCTCTTTAACGGGTGAATCAGTGTTATCCATACATTGCAAATCAAGATGTATCAAATTGTCTTAACTTAATCATATTTTTTCGCAACAATTGAGGTCAGATTTAAAAACTTTTCTTCGTAAATTTAAATAAATACTATAAATCTCACATCACGCTTTTCACTCACATTTTGCATACGTACATGGCGTACATGACAGCTCACCAATTACACTTTTAAGTGGAAAAACTTGTTACAAGAATTTGATTTTACAGTGAACACTTTTGTTTGCACTAAAAGCTAAAGGTTCTCAAAACATGTGTTCAATAAAGATAGAGTCACGATTAGAAAGGGAAAAAAATGATGGACTTGTTTTTAAAAGCGATATTGCCCCATCTGCAAACCTTTTAAAATCTGTAGAAACCACCGGCTTTGACTTTCTTGTTAGTATTTATTGAGGAATTTTCTAGAATACAGCAAGCAGGTGATTACATAAGTATTGATCTGTTAATACAAATTGATACAAGTCATTGTGCAAAAGCTGGAGGGTCTATGTTCAATAGTTTAGGAAATATTTGACAATAAGTTACGCCAAAAAATTTTGACCGTACTATTGTGGCCGAACTCGGTTATTTAAGTGATAGTGGCACACTCTGCTCACCATTCTTTTCTGGTACTAATTTATTGTAAATATCTTAAAGTTCACATTCACGTTCACCTTCACATATCATTTTGTAGTCTGGTTGACCATTGAGGCACATCCACAGATCTTGCGACCAAACTTTCTTTTTATACTCCTCTCAGTTCTAAGCTTTCTGTAATTAGATTGATATTCGAGTCACCGTGAGCCCATTTCTCGAAGAAGTCTTTCCATCGTTTCCCCTGTTTGCCTCTTCATCTCCCTTCTTGTGCTGTTCTCAGTAGGCTAGTCTTGGCGAATTCAGATGATTGTGTGATGTGCCCGTTCCACTTCGGTTTGTATTTTTTCACTGAAGTCAGGGGTCATCATACGGCGTGATCTTACTTACTTACTTTACTTTATCCGTCCTCTTGTACCTCCAGGGCGTCGAGGGGAGAAAGAGCTTCCTGTCTCTAGCAAGTTTGGTTGCCTGGCTGGGTGGGATATTGTATATTCTCAGGGTATCCTTCACACTCTGGATCTAGGTCTTTCTTGGTCTTCCTCTTGCCTTGTACCCTGATACTTTCCTGTAGTAGGCTTTACTGGCAAACTGGTTAGGTGCCATACGTGGGAGAAA